AAACGACAGTCTTTTTCAAGATAGTCGTTTTTCTGATATATTGGGTGGTACTCAGCATCGGTAGAAACACAGTAACGGTCCTTCTCAGGATAGTTATTAAGATAATTTTCCAGGTTTGTGCGGAACATCGATGGTCAATTTCCAACAGTCGTTTTCAGAATAGTTGGTGTATTTCCTACTTGTTTCATTTCTTTTAATTTTTATTTTATTTCCATTGTTTTTACAAGTACGTATTCGCATCCTAACTGTGGACATGGCTGATTCGTCACAAAATCTCCATTCTAAGAGATGTTGTAACCCACTAGGTAAAGATGGTCATGTGGGTAAAAACTTGCGGAATATTTCGCAAGGTATTTTTGAGTCCTATCCAAATTTGCATCCACAATCATAAATTTGTCACACTTATAGAAAAAGTATTTATAACTCTCATAAAGATCTTTCTTTTGAAGGTAATAGTCGAGATTACATGGAATTCGATGACTCCTTGAATGAACCTCCGAATAACGGAATACACGAATCCTGCAGTAAAAATGATAGTATAGAGGACATGAAATTTAATGATTCCTTGGAAGAACTTGCATGCAAATCTAGAGAAGAACAGTTAGAAGAACTCTTGAATGGCCTTAAAAAGAAATTCCTAAGTTTATCTGAAAATGATCCAATGCGTACGTCTATTCTCACTATAGCTCCTGATAGTTGGAGCATTCGTACAATCATGGAAGAATTTAAATGTTCTCATAGACTGGCAAAAAACTCTAAGGATTTGAAAAATTCTGGTGGAGTATTATCAGTACCACCTTTCAAAAGGGGAAAAAATATAGATGAAGAAACTATATCGAAAGTTATTGAATTTTACGAAAATGACTCAAACGGTCGCATTATGCCGCATAAAAAAGTAGTTATCAAGGTCAAGATAGATGGTGTGATAGTTTCTAAACAAAAACATTTACTACTGTATGATGTTAAAGTTTTACATTTCATGTTCAAGAAGAAATATCCAGAATATCTTATTGGATCATCTAAGTTCGCAGAGCTGCATCCTAAATGGTGTGTTTTAACTGGATCATCAGGAACACACAGCGTTTGCATATGCACGACTCACCAGAATGTTAAACTAATGTTAGATGCTATAAATCTTAAATTTTTGAGCAGGGATTCTGAATTTCAATTATGTGACTACAAAGATTGTTTTAAATTCATTCAGTGTAAGAAACCTACAACTGATTGTCATTTGCTACAGTGTAACAAATGTCCTAATACTGAGAAGCTTTCCGACTTCCTTTTGGAATTATTGAAAAAAAATAAAATCGAACAAGTTATATTCAGCACTTGGCAATCTACTGATCGCTGTACCCTCAAACAAGAATGTCTTCCCTCAGATGAATTTATAGAAGTATTGTGTGATCGCATCAAAGTTCTCATTACGCATAGTTTTATATCAAATGAACAAACAAAATTTATATCTGATAAAAGGGAAAATTTAAAAGAAAATGAAATATTGCTATACTATGATTTTGCGGAAAATTATGCATACGTGGCTCAGGATGCCGCTCAAGCTTTCCATTATAACAATGACCAATGTTCTGTTTTTACTGTTGCATTTTACTATCGCTCCAATACCGAATTAAAACATCACAACATGATGCAACAGCAGTTTATTTAATGCAGCAGAAAGTGATACCGATAATTAAAATGTTGTATCCAAAAAGTACAAAAATTTATTATATATCTGATGGTGCCAAGCAACATTTTAAGAATAGAACTCAAATGATGCACCTTGCCCATCACAAGACTGATTTTCAAATTGATACGGAATGGCACTGTTATGCAACGTCTCATGGTAAATGCATCTGTGATGGACTAGGTGCTTGTTTGAAGAGTGAGGCAACCCGATATAGCTTACAAGCAGAACCAAAAAATGCTATATTAAATTCTATAACTCTCTTTAAATGGGCTAAGGAAAAGTTCAAGAACATACAATTTCTTTACTATACAAAAGAAGAACATAAGAGGTTATCTGATACATTAAAAAGAAAATTCCCCAACCCACCTGCTGTAACCAAGATTCAAAGTAGCCATGCGTTTATTCCAAATACTGACAATAAATTGATAGTAAAACGCTACGCGGCTGCAAAAGATAATGTGGATATAATACAATATTAGAATTAACAGCAGTTGTACATGAATTGGACAATATCTTACACCATATCTAACCACTGAATTATTCCCAGTATAATTTAAAAACAGCTGTCCCCCGGGTACACATGTTTAACGCCTTGGGGTTATAATTTATTGAATTTTTAATTGCAAACAGTTTGCCTCATAGCTTGTGTGGGTTATTTGGTTATTAGCCTCACTAGTTTATTCTCATTATAATTTAAAAATTGCTGCCCCTGGGCACGCAGGTTTAATAGCTTGGGGTTAGTTTTCTTACATTTTTATTTATAAACAGCTTCTCCTGAGCTTGCGTGGGTTATCTGGTTGGTGTCTAGCGGTCCAAGTTACTTTTTCGATTTACTCAAAATGGATCGCCTTTACTGAACAATCTTATAAAATAAAAAGCTCTTAGAATTAGTCGTAGACTACGTATGAATTTTTGTAAAAGATCTTGGGAAGTTTTTTAATTTTTCAAACAATCCGATAAATCCAAAAAGCAAAAAATCGCTCAAAGGAATTCGAAAAAATTCACACTTGTGTTTTGATGAATTTCAAGCAATTTTGTTCCTTAAATTTTTTTTCCAAAGTCAATTCCTTCTGAGTAAAAAAATCGCAAATTTTTTTATTTTTGAAAATTTTCAAAAAATTATAACTTTTTTATTTTTCATTTTAGCGAAAATGATTTCTGTTACTGTTTTGTAGGAAATGAGCCAGATTTTCATAAAAAAATATGAAATATTAATTTTTTTAACATTTATTACTAAAAATTTGAAAAATAAAATTTTTTGTTTACGAGTTTGTCTCTTGTAGCCGCCATATTGGAGCCGCCATGTTGGATTTTGCAAAGGCGCACACAGCATCAGAAAGTAGATATGCTAAGCTTTAAAATGAGTCGTTGCACGATTTTTTTGGTCACATCAAATTTTGGACACAGCAGTGATCCGGTTGACATGGATTGTCCCATATATGTATTGATTTTAGAAATTAATGACAAAAACTAATTGTTAAGAAAACTGAGATGAAAACCGATTATAAACAAGAAAGACAAATTTACAAAAGAACTGAATATAATCTGTATAACGTAATTCTGAAGAGAACAAAGTTGTGGCACGACTTTCCGTGATTAAATCTCGCACGGGAAAGAATTATTGGGCGTGGGTGATACAGTAATGCAGTGCGGGAGCGCCACCACGCGTCCACTAAACCGCCCACGCGCACCCAATGCGTACAACTAATACGCGCGACGCAATTATACATAATACTAATACTCAATATTAATCAGGATTAAGAAAATTTAAAAGTTGTCACTTAACAGATTGCTTTTTAAAATGGTTGTTTGAGTTGATATCCTAAAACATGGATATTATCAGTTTCTATAAGAAACTTTATTCATAACTTTGGTTGAAGTTAATCTTTCCTACATCTCTTTGGTCTTTTTGATTTCTTTAGTTTATAAGAGTTGTCCTAGTCTCCGATTTTTTCCTACAATTAAATTTTATATAAAATATTAAGAAGTTAATAGTAAAAGTTGATGAAAAATGTTTTTCTTTCAAAAAAATTTTAATGTATTTTATCAGATTGGTTTCAATATTCAAAACTCAAATGATTATTTGTAAAATAATTAATATTTTTAATGTAAATAGAGACTGTAACGATCTGAAAAATAATCAAATTATTCTCGCGTCCCGTTAAGAATTTTGTTTTCGCTGTTCGATGCGGGGCTCACCGCCGCCCCGGTCAGCTAGCCGCTTCCTGGCGTTCCGCCGAATACGGGCGGGCACGCGCTGCCCTGAAAAGGGATCGCGAAAGCACGGCTAAGCACGAGAGCGTGCGTGAGTTCTAATCACGGGCGTGGGAAGGGACAGAGGTGCCTTCCTGGGTACGCCCAACACAAAGTCAACGCTTAAACAGGTTAAACCGGGCTTTATTTATTCATACGAACTTTTCATACAATACCGCATGCCGAGATTTCGCTATCAATACTATTTTAGAGAGAGAGACGCTCGCTCGCGTAACTAACGCACGCTGAGTTGTCGCTTATAAACAGAGAGGAACTCACCGGGAAGTAGCTGCTGCAGACAGACTACTCCTTGCTAATCGCCCGCGTTATCGCCCTTGCTCGGGCGGGCAAGTTCTGCCCCTGGTAATCGCCCACTCGAGATGACGATCCACAGGTTCCGGCGATTTTTGAGGATAGTCTCCAATTTTCTCGCGCACTCGCACTTTTCTTTATCTGCCGGTCGCTTTCCTTTTCTTCCTCTTTTCTTTTGGTCGCGCACGCACGTGACAATCCCTCGAGCTCGCCGGTCTAAGTCCAAGTGTTCGAAAAATCGTTTTTCTCCCCCCACTCTACCGCTACGGCACGCGCCTCATCGAGTCTCGCTCTGTCTCTCTCTCTTCACTCCTCGCTCGCTTGCCCGCTTGGCCATGCTCGGCCTCGTGCGCGGACAATCTTCCGCGAAAACGGCCCCGGCCGTTATAAGACATATAAAATACCGCATAGCAGATTTTATGTGACTAAATTAACTATACTATCTCCTGGTCAATTGCAATTCTTATTTAAAAAGAAAACGCTTTTGTTTGCACTGTTTGGTAACTTAATGTACTACGTAACATCGTACTTGACTTGGCTATTATTTGAAAAATAATTTGATTACTTCAATGTACTTATTTATTTCGTATAAAAAAACTATCTAACAGTAAATTTATAAATAATTTGAAAATTTTTCAGACCAATTAATAATTTGTATGCTACAGTCCAAAATTATTCGAATGTAATTAGCTAATAATAATTAATTGTTAAAACTATGTTACTTTCATAATTTAAATTATTTTTTTCTTAGAAAGATAGCAGAACGGTCATCAGTCGACGAGCCACGAATTGTAGTACATTGTCATGAGTGGCAAGCAGGAGTCGGATTAATCGCATTACGCACACGTCATGTAGGTGTGGCTACAATTTTTACTACCCACGCAACTCTTCTCGGAAGATATTTATGCGCTGGAAAAACAGATTTTTATAATAATTTAAATAAGGTTAGTAAAAATTAATCTTAATAAAATAATAGCTTTATTTCTCTATTATTAATTTGTTACTAAATTATATCTTGGAAATTTATTGCAAGAAAAGAGCTATCGTTACATGTAAATATTTCCTAAAATGAAAGTAAAATGATTAAATATTGTGAATTATTTTATTCCATGCATACTGAACTGTTTCATCGGGAACGCGGATAGTTAAAATAATGATCGAATTAGCTCAAAACTTGAGAAACATGACTGTGCTCCTGAAATTTAATATATTTGTTGCAATCATTCATAAAAAAGATAGTGAATAGAATGGTATATCGTACGCATTTTTTTTTATGGGTTGGCTTTCCTACAATAAACATATATCGGTAAAAAATGCAAAACATAGACCTTTTCTTAGAACGATTTCCCCATTTTCATCTCAAAATGTTAGTACTACGATAGAAATTCATAGAAGCAAATTTATTCGCCGTGAAATTTCTTACAAAATTCCATCGTTTAAAGTTGTAAAATTCATTTTCCATAGGCGATAAGGTAATTATACGAAAGAAAAAGTAGCTTTGTTTTTGTTAACTGAAAAATAATTGAAAATATACGCGGCTATTATCCGTTCTTCTATAAATAAATTATACAATCTTTTACGATTTCAATAACGTAAATCCCGATCTCGATACAATTTTCAGTTGCACCGCAGAATAACCGCAAGAATTGTGTAAACTAAAATGAACGAGATAAACGTTTTTGTAATATTATACAGTAGAATATTCTAAATATTATTTGCAATGATTAAATCAATGATTTGTTGCTTAAGTTGACTTATACTATTTTTTAAACAGATAATTTTTTTGTTAAATAACAAATGGAATATTATCCCCATTTTTCACGATAATTGAAATCTGAAAACATACACAAAAAGATTTTAGAAAAAGCTTCAATTTAATGATTCAAAAATTTAAGTTTGATTTTTGCGGAATTTAATTTTGCGGAAAAAGAAAATTCACCGCATATTATCGTTGCCAATATCATATCATGTATATATCATCATTATATTATATCTTTATGCTAATTTATTAAATTCGATAGAGAGAATATAAATTTTACATATATTAAGAAAGAATCAAATGGATTTAAGGATTCTGGAGTTACCAAGAATGTTATAAAAGAAAGAAACGTAAAAAAAAGAGGAGAGAAAATTATTTTAAAAATCACATTTTTACAAAAACCAATGAAGTAGAACAAATCATTGGCATTGGCAAAGTAAACTCAAAAATATTCTCTAAACCTAAACCGAAGGATTAGGGGGATTAAAAGCGGAATTAGAAAGAAAAACTCATAGAAAATGTCTGGTGCTAACAATTTATAACAACTATAATGGCGGATTCTTCTCAGTAACTTGTTAACCCTTTGCGGCATAGTGGTAAGTATACTTACCACCTTTTTGAAATGAGATTTTCATGTATGAAGGGCTCTAATAAATCGTTGCTCACGGGGATTTTTAATATTTTATCCTTCTAATATGTTAATGAATGTATAACTATATCAAATTATCGATTTTTAGTCGCCATTTTTTAAAAAATGGCTGAAAAGTGCACCAAAATGACGATTTTTTAGAAAAAAAATCATTATTGAAAGCAAATGTTACTATAATCGTGCAAATAAAATTACTTGTAGGTTTTCAGGGTCACTGAATACGAATCTGCAGTCAGAATTTGAAAATTTTAATTTCCAAGATGGCGGATTCAATATGGCGGATCCATTTTTCAGCTAAATTTTATTTTTTCAAAAAAAAAAATAAAATAAAGAAAAAATAAGAAAAAAATAAAAAAAAAAATAAAAAATAAAAAATAAATAAAAATACAAAAATGGAGACTTACCACCACGTCCTCGCTCGTGTCTCTGGGTTCGGCTAAGAGTGGTAATATTATCAAAAATGTAAAAATTATAGCAGAATATAGTATGGAATGGCGAGTGTAAAAAAAACACTCAACAAACACATGGGTCTGTCATATATCGGCTTTCTACTTCCATTCAGGATACTTCAATCTAGCTGAAAAATGGATCTGCCATATTGGATCCGCCATCTTGGAAATTAAAATTTTCAAATTCTGACTTCAGATTCGTAATCAGTGACCCCAAAAACCTACCGGGTAACAGTTTTCATATTTATATTATTGTTTCAAAAATGTGTGCCGCAAAGGGTTAAGAGGATCGTCGTGTATATTATTATATGGAGAAATGAGAGAATATGTAGATATGTAGATATAATTTAGTACGGGTTAGATCGAACCCGACCAGATAGCTCAGCATACGCCGTTAACTGATGTTAATATGGTATTCTGTCTATAGGTTCGCAAAGAATGTTATATAGTCCAAACCCACGACTGAAAACATACCAAATAAATAATGAATGTGCACTGGGAAATTGCAAGGTTTAGGAGGTTATGCGCAAATAAACGAACGCACCGAATCAAATGAGAAACACAACTTGCATACAGAATAAGAAAAGATATAGATAGGCTAGTTGGTGTTGCGATAACATGACGCATAAGTGAGAGTGACAAGTCTAAACTGTACTCAGCCAATTTTTTATGAAACAGAATAAGAAAAAATTCGTGTCTTTTAATTTTCTATGATCTAAAAGACGGATATAATTGATTTCTTTTATATATAATCGGGCGATATATCACTGATCGAGGTCAAGTCGGATTCAGCAATATATAAAACTTGTGAGTGTACTAATCTCAACAAGAAATAAAAATTATTCGGGATTTAACCTTCAAATGATTTTCATCGAAACCTGATAGGGTTAAACGGACATCAGATTTGGATTCAGTGACTCGATATACTTATGAGTATCTTCATTTCCTCGTTAATCAACATTTATTAATTAGTAATTCAATAACACAAGCCGACAAGGAAAAAAACCCAGAAACCAGACAGTACGTTCCCAAAGGTTTTTGATGCGCTGAAACCGAATCTGACCTCTGAATTGCTCCATCACCCTAGGTTTTCGACAAATCCTAACCTAAAAGTTCAAAAAACACGATTTTTCACTATATTTCGCGTAGTATTACGTCGTAAGCCAATTTTATTTTAAAAAACGAGTAATGCTATCTGAAAGTACTACTCTTACCCTTCAAAACCCTTTTTTCAGATTTAAAAAATCTTTTTTTTCATCGAGATATCGTAGATTGAATTTGAGTGATTTAGCGATTTCGTTACAGCACGAAATAGTGGCGAATTTCCGAATAAGGAGTTATAGTGTAATTATATGTTTTTTGGGTCACTGAATCCAAATTTAACGTCTGAATGACTCTATAATCTCAATTCCCTTAACCCTAGAGCCCCATAACCTGCGACGCTGTAACCACTGACCGACATACCCCAATTTCCTTAACCCTCGAGCCCTTTAACCTGCTGCGGTATAACGCCTGACCCTCACACCTCAATTTTCTTTACCCTCGAGCCCTTTAACCTGCTGCGGTATAACCCCCGACCCTTATACCCCAATTTCCTCAACCCTCGAGCCTTTAACCTACGACGCTATAACCCTCCACCCTCATACCGAAATTCGCTACGCAGAATACCTCAAGCCTCCAAATTATATTCAACCCCCGAGCCCTGCAAGTCTGCAACCTCAGACTCCTTTGCCAGAATTTCCTCAATCAGCACTTCAAACTGCTATCGTATAACCGTATGTCTCTACATTTCAATCCCTTCAATATCCAAGCCTTCGTATTCTACGCAGCTTTCAATTACGCGTTTTAAATCTCATTTATTCAGTTTGTGAGTCTTGCATCTGAATATCTGCAACCCTACAGTTTTTCACTTCTTTTTTTTATGAAAACGCTGTCGTTTATCTTGGAATGAACGTTTAAGAGATTTGAGTCTATGATGATCTGTCAATGTATCGTGTCGCTGTAGAGCCCAGCAATAGTCAGCCATCATGCTCTCATTCCATCTACCTTGATAATGTTCCTCTTTGTTTCTGAAATCTTGATGAAATCTTTCACCCATTTCTTCACTGAACGCCCCAACATTGTCTGAAAAGTATTCCAAATGTGAAAACAAAAAGTGTATTTTCAGGCTCATCAAACACCCTAATTTTTGAAAATTCTGTAGCATTGTCGACACAATAGTTTTGTATTTAGGGTCCCGGTGGTTTCCGAGAAAATTCTCGGTGACACTTTTGAAACTTATCCAAGCATTTCTCTCATTAGTCGTCATTGTCAAGAGGAATTCATCATCTTTCATAAGTGCTTGAATGTCTGGCCCTACAAATATACCTTCCTTAATTTTCGCTTCAGATAATTTAGGAAATTTGCCCTGAAGATACTTCTAACATTCGCCTTCCTTATCTAGTGCCTTGACGAATTAATTCATCAAGCCCAGTTTTATATGGAGTGGAGTTAACAAGATATGTTTAGTCTCAACAAGGTTCTCATGGACGACATTGCTTGATCCAACAACCATTCCGATTCTTTTCGTCCATTCTTTCCGAACCCAATGTTCTTCTCGCGCACGACTGTCCCAGAGACACAAAAAACAGGGGTGCTTCGTATTTCCAGATTGCAAGCCAACTAATATATTGATCATCTTGAAATCGCCACAAACGAGCCATTTGTGTTCATTGTAATTGATTTTCTCAAGAAGGAATCGAAAGTCATCGTGAGACTCTTTCATCACAGTGGAATAGGCAATGGGAATAGCTGCATACTCATTCCCATTGTGCAGAAGTACTGCCTTGTGACTTTGTACAGATGCATCCATGAAGAGTCGTCAGTTCTCTGGATTATAACCTCCTTGCACTCCATATAAACTGATGAGATGCTTTATATCGTTGCAGTAAACAAGGTTATCCACGCAAGTAAAATATGGCCGAAATTTAATATCTCTCTTCCTGTAAATAGAAACTTTTGTCTCAGGTAATAAAAGATTTCTTTCTTTTAGTCTTGAAGCTAAGAGTTCTGAAGAATCTTTCGGAAGATTCAAATCACGGATCAGAT